ATCCAGTAAAGTTTTAAGCATGTCTGAAACTTAAAACCAAGATCCAGTAAAGTTATAGGCATGTCTGAAACTTAAAACCAAGATCCAGTTAAGTTTTAAGCATGTCTGAAACTTAAAATCAAAATCCAGTAAAGTTTTAAGCATGTCTGAAACTTAAAACCAAGATCCAGTAAAGTTATAGGCATGTCTGAAACTTAAAACCAAGATCCAGTAAAGTTTTAAGCATGTCTGAAACTTAAAACCAAGATCCAGTAAAGTTTTAAGCACGTCTGAAACTTAAAACCAAGATCTAGTAAAGTTTTAAGCATGTCCGAAACTTAAAACCAAGATCCAGTAAAGTTTTAAGCATGTCTGAAACTTAAAATCAAGATCCAGTAAAGTTTGAGAAAAAGTACAAGTGGGCTTTGACAATTTCAATTTGAATTTTTTTTATAATTAAGAAATAAGAAAAAGATATAAGTAGGCTTTGACAATTACAATTTCAATCAATTTTATAATTAAGAAAAGAAAAAAAGTTCGTAGTGAACTTTGAAAATTTGTTGAAAGTGAAAAATCATTGTGGAAAATTAATTCAATTATTTCACATGTATTTAACACACTTTCACAGACATTGTGAAAGTAAAATTGAAATTGTGCTGTCGTTGGAAATAAGATCCAGTAAGTATAAGCCTGTTTGAAACAAAGACAAAATAATCGAGCAGGAAAAAAATTAAGAATCATACCAAAAAAAAAAAATTCCAATTGCAAAAAAAAATATTTTCATTATGATACAAATGAAGTTTGTATTTAAAGACATAGGTACAGTATGCTGAAGGAACTTGCTAGTTCCAACATTTTTTCACATACATTTAACTTAATGCATACTGTCACAACCATTTTATTAATATCACACTTATACCAACAAATATTTTCTGTTGTATGAATGTAAACAAATGTGTTTTGGAATAATCGGTTATAATTTGCCAAAAAATGATAGTTTTTTGCATCTTGTGCCTCACTGGAAGCATCTTATGACTCCAAAAACTATACAGCAAATCTATGACCCAATATCTATCAGATAAAAGTAACATTAAGGCTTGATATTGAGTTTAAATTGAGTTATCGCTCCGAATAACTAACTAACTAACTAACAGAATGCCTTTTTTGGCGATTTCGCGGAACTGGAAGCACGAAATAAGATGCAGTTTTTACCATTCGATAGGTATTTCGAGGCACAGACTTTTACATATCAGACTTATGGAGTGATTCGGTAAGACTGAAGCAGCAAGTTAAAAAAACTGATTTTCTGTAAAACCAAAAACAATATATTCACAAAAATTGAAAATTTTGTGTGAATATGAAATGAATTTATTCAACAGTTGAAGAAGCTTTAATCGCGAGGGTCGTCGAATTGGTGTGATAGTATTAGTGTGAAATTCCAATTTGAATTTTCCGTTGAGCAAAAATCGTCGAGGCCTTAAGATTATTGGAAATAAGCTTTCTTTTGTGTTTAAATTGGTTAAGGTTATTGAATAAGTGAGCTGAAGTGGCTCGGTGGCGGAATGGTTTAGTACTTCGGTACCTAATTATTGCAATACCGACACAGCGATCATGGGTTCGAGACTGGGTATGGGAAATTTTTCACTTGTCCTTTTTCGAATCATATGTACTGGAAATGAGGCCCACAGCCTTCCTTTGTAGGCTACAGACAGAAATGTCATCAAAGGAGTGATTCGGATCCCACTATAAATTGTAGGTCTAGGTTTGAGTGCAGTGGTTTGGCGCATCCTCACTCGTTAAACTCTCATTAGCTGCGAAACGCCCTAGCGCATCTCTGGATCACAATTGATCTGAATAGGGAAAGGTTTTTTTTTATTTATTGAATAAGTGTAAATAAAGGTAAAACTAGTGAGCTGAAGTGGCTCGGTGGCGGAATGGTTTAGTACTTCGGTACCTAATTATTGCAATACCGACACAGCGATCATGGGTTCGAGACTGGGTATGGGAAATTTTTCACTTGTCCTTTTTCGAATCATATGTACTGGAAATGAGGCCCACAGCCTTCCTTTGTAGGCTACAGACAGAAATGTCATCAAAGGAGTGATTTGGATCCCACTATAAATTGTAGGTCTAGGTTTGAGTGCAGGGCAATTCTCCAGATGAGTTGAGTTTTTGAAAAAAGAGCTTTTATAATCCAAAGTCATTTACTGTTTACTTTCAATTTTTTTTTGTAAATATCTTGTCAATTTCTTTGTTTTGATTGCTTAAAGCAACTTTAAACTATTTATTACGATTGATTCTCACTGAATCAACAATAATTCACCCATGAAGTGTTAAATTAAGACTAAAATTTAATTTTTATGAAATAATTGCTTTGCATTTTTTTCATGGATTTGCAAAATAAAAGCTTAATTTTTTTACTGTCAGCAAAAAAATCCACCGAAGAATCAAAAATTCTCTTTAAATAGTAATTGTTGGAGTGTAATATGATAATGGTTAGATAGATTAGCTCAAAAACTACATTTCTGCATAATCATAATAAAAAATGAGTGTTTACTTTTCTTCAATTTTCGATTCTCCGGATGATTATTCCATTTTTTGCTGACAGTAATTTGCGAAAAAAAATTGAAAAAACTTAATTATTGGCTCCTTTCAAAGACTTAAATAGATAAAATATAATAGTTTTTGCCATTTTACATCGATTTAAATGTAAAAGTTATGCTTGGTAATGGAAAATTTCCGAGAAAATTTGATTCTCCCGATGATTTTTTGAAAAAATTATCTGGAGAATTGCCCTGCAGTGGTTTGGCGCATCCTCACTCGTTAAACTCTCATTAGCTGCGAAACGCCCTAGCGCATCTCTGGATCACAATTGATCTGAATAGGGAAAGGTTTTTTTTTATTTATTGAATAAGTGTAAATAAAGGTAAAACTGCATCATTTAATTTGAGCTTTTTCATAAAATACTGAAAAGCAAATCAATTTATTGACAGCATTTAAAATTCAACTTATTTACACATAGGTTTGTCAATTGCGTAGATGTCACCAATAATTTGAAAGTGATTAAAATTCACCCACGTAAAATTGAAAAGTGAACAGAAAACTAATGAACTGTGTCACATGCAATATTCGACCAAAATCAGTGTTAAATAATCCAATAGTTGTATTCATATAGTATTTGAGGGTCATCCATGGCATTCATAGATGCATGGTTACATAGCAATTGTGTAACCTTTTAAATTTAGACGTATTTACAAGGTTTTAACGCATTGATGGAAACCTACGCGAAAAGTCACCACGAATTGAATTACAATGTTTCAGGATGTTCAAAACATACAATGTAACTCAATGTAAAATAATTAAAAGTGTTAAATACTCGAGTTTATTGAATATAACGATAAGCAACAATTGGCATGTAATTTTGCATAATAGAATTCGTGACAATGCTAAATGGCGATTTAAACTTAATGCGTGCATTAATAATATTTGTAGAAAGCTAATATAGGAACTGTTGTACTCAATTAGATCTTAACAGGGGCGTAGCCAGAAAATTTTTGAAGGGGGGCCCATTTTTGAAAATTAAAAAACCGTTATTTTGTATCCTTAAATCTATATTCATTCTTCATAAGTTTAAATATTTAATTCATTATTCATACATTAAATTTAATTTTTCGTGCTGATTTTGACATTTCTTTCATCACTTCCTCTACATTAACTGGTTCTTCTCTATAAATACTTAATAAAACAATTATCAGATTTTCGTAGGGGGGGCCCGGGCCCCCTATGGCCCCCCCCCCTGGCTACGCCCCTGGATCTTAACTTTGCAAGAAAAATGTCAAAAAGAATGTCATTGCTGGGACAGAAACTCAAGTCTGCTCTTTTTCTCTTAGTTGGAATCCAGAAGAGACAAGACATGAGCTCATGGCTGAATGCTTCTGAAAACAAAAACAGCACAATCTAGGTGACAGAGCTAGCAACAGAGTCAGATGGAAAGCCTTTTGTTGTAACCTAAGCTGCACAAAGGAACATTAATAAGGAAGTACTGTTTACGTCTTTTATTTTATCCTGGTTACATCCATCTAAGTAAAACTTCTTCGTGCGCTGATGAATACTTTATTAGAGACGTGCATTAGATGTGAAATTATTAAACTGAATACCAACTCTGGAACAAAATATTCAATATGCCTAGACTAAAGTTGCACATCATTTATGGATGATCCCAAAAAGTGAATTTCAATGTGCATAAAAAGTTGCATTATAAGAAATTCCTTCGTGTCGTTCAGTATTCTTTTGACTTTATCTACAATTTAATGCGATGCATTTTTTTCAAGCTTGCCACTTTGACATTTTCCGTTTTTTTTACTCGAATTAAAGGAAGCATAAAATTCAAAAGAGAGGAAGTCACAAAAAAAATGTTTCTCAAGCAAATCAAGCTTCCAAGAAATGATTCGAGCTGCTTTTTGAAAAATCTTTGCGGGATTTCATGATCTGAAAGTTTCTTGTTTCAATTGACTTACAAGCTTCAATTTTGATATCAAAGCATTTTTTTATGGATCTTTGAAAGTTTTATACGAAATCTTCAAGGTTATTCAAAGCACCAAGTGAGCATCTTGATGATTTAAGATGTAATCTTGATATCTGTTTATTAAGTTTGCCCCAATAAATGATTTTAAGGATGCAAATATATCATTAAATGGTTCGAAGAACTCAATGGGTAAGCAACCATTCAATTCAAGTCATTTCAAGATGTCAATGACTCAGCATTCGAACAATTCTAATTTCCATTTTAATCATGTCCAATCATCATAGAGAACATAATTAGGAACGTGCAAAAAAATAGGAGCAACCCAAAACAGACCCAATAATTTGTTGCTGGAAGCTAATAAAAATTAAGCCATAAAACAAAAACAGACCAACTCAATATAATAAAGTTATTTTTATGTAAAAAAGGCGCTAGTCGAGGAAACCCTTAAGAAGCAAAAAATTAATGCTGAAAGCATTAAAAAGAAAAGAACTTAAAGTTGTGCTTTTTTTGTATTATTGAGCATTTATTTGTGATAATTCTATGTATGTAATACACAAAGTTGTCCATTTTTTTTTTTGTCTTAAACGTCTACGAGAGTTGCTGAAAGTATGTCTGTGAGTTTCTCCATTGTTTCTTTTTGTTTTTATGAAAAATAGCATAATTTATCGTAATTAAAGTTAAAAAGTGAATGTTTCAGAAAGAAAAGAAAAACCGGAAAATAAGTTTTAAGCTTAATCATTATCGTGACGCTGTCCGGGTACACTGAATTCTGGTCTGAAGTTTGAAAAGTTTGCTCCATTTTCGTCTGTTGAGAAGCCCTCGATTGTTGAGTTCTTAAAGCCATTTGGGAATAGAGCCATTGACGTAACTGTGAAAAAAAAAATTGAATGAATGAGATACAAAAATCTGAATGAAAGTCAAGATGCGTGGATATTCTTCTTCAAGGTTGTCATGACGAATATAAATAAGGAGGAAGAAGGCATACAATTGTTGTATTAAATATCCAAGGATTCATTTGAAACATTATTCAATTTAAAGTTCAATATTCTTCTGATAATATTGAGGAAATAGAAACAAATTTAACGAAATTTTTAAGTTTCAATTTAACTGTTTTCAAAAATTTGAATTTAGTCATTCAAAATTTGAATTTATAAAAACAGTTAAAAATTTTGAATTTTTTAAATCCGTTAAAAACAAAATTCAATATTCATGACATGACAAGTTTATGAAGCATAAAAATAACTTACCAGCATTATTTGAATTCTTCGGATTTGTGGCAATCCTTGAGAGAATAGACTTTTCAGCTGCTTGAAGACGCTGTGCAACTGGTGGAATATTCGCAAGAGTAGCAGGCAATCTCGACACATCGCTTTTCATGTCACTCAACAGTTCTTCTAGTTGATTCAATACTTTGTGTAGGACTGGATTATTTGCAGCCGTTTTTGTAATCGACTCAGCATCTTGTTCAGGGTCAAAATCGCCTGGATGCTCTGATGTAATGTTATCCGTATTTGCGCTATTCAAATAAGCAGCACGTCTCAATTGCTCTTCAATCACGAGTGCCTGTTCAAGCAACTTAAATCGTCTTGCGAGGAATTTATTACGAATTTCAAGGAAATTCCCCTTTCCAGCATCCATTTTAAATGGTTCATTGACAATAGCGAATCGTTGATCACTCAAAATGTCTTGCCAACGAGCATATCCATGAGCAACAGTACCAGCTAGTAGCCAATAATCATGTCGTCTATGCCAAATATTATAAATTCGATTTGGAACTGCAACCTTTTCCTCATTAATCCAAAGTGTATGTAATTCAGTAAATCCACCGTCAGAGATATTAAACATGAATTTTCTATCGGCTGGAGATATTTTCACGGCTGGTTTCTTCTTTCCTGTATCTACATCAATACATACAACATCGTCGTCGTCATCGTCACTAACTGTTGTTACTTCCGATTTCTTATTATCTTCTGTCTTTACTGTTTCATCACTCAAGGGATCTTTTTTGTCATCATTCTCATCACTTTCTTTCTTATTTTCACTATCACCATCGAGTTTGATATCTTCTGTCGGTGGCTTTTCGTCTTTTTCTTCCTTAACATTTTCATCACTCTTTTGTTCGCTTGATTCTTCTGGTTTAACAGTCTCTACAGACTTTTTATCATCATCATCCACACTAGGTTTCGTTTCTGACGTTTTTGATTCTTCCTTAACTTCCTGCTTTATATCATCGGATGGCTTTACATCTTCCACCTTCTCATCGACCTTTGGCTGTTCCGTTTTTTTAACTTTCACTGGCAAAACAGGTCCATTCATAATCTCTGGCATTGAATAAATACCATTAATGTTCTCGAATTCCTGTACCTTTTTACGTATCAATGACATGACACCGATACGTGTCAAAATATGTTGACGACTTAAACCTTCACGTGGAACGCCATCAGCGAATGTTTCAGCATTATCAGCACCTGGCTCACATAAATGTCTCATAAATAATGCAATATATGCTTTAAATTGTCTCTCAGTCTTTGCCCGTAAGTCTCTTATTAACCATTGTCCATTGTAGGCATCTTGTGGTGGCATTCCATAGCGCATAATTCCATTAAGGAATGCCTTACGTTGTCGTGCATTAAAGCCAAGAACTTCAATATTTCCTGCAACTCGTGCCAAAAGTGGCGGTAATGGACGTTCTCTTTCCCTAGCCCTTGCACGAGCTCTTGCTGCAATTTCATCCTCATCCATACCTTCACGATCTTCATCACTAGTATAATCACTATATCCACTTCCATCATCTTGCCAATTATCGTCGCGTGGCTCAGCTGTCACAATACCATTGTCAGTATAATTTACTTGCTTCCTAACTCGTTTTCCCTTTCCTAATGACCTTGCTATATCCTCTTGATGTTGCTCATAGTGATGCCTCAATAATTTTACCCAATAAGCTGGGTCTGAATTTTCTTCTTTTACAAGAATTTCGCGTTCAACATCATCCTCTTCTTCGTCTTGATCCTTTGTGGCATACGATGCGACTTTGAAGCTTGACAAATAGTCATTTGCCCAGTTTTCTTTCTCTTCAACACCTTCCATTGAACGATCTAAAAGCTTTTCAACAGCTGAATCATCATAATGAATAGTTTCGTCTTTGCTTGATTCTTCTTTGAATAATTCTTCCGTACCAAAACGTAGAATATCATCAAGTTCCTGCTTTGTAAGATTTGTTGTTTTTCCGCCCATACCTGTGCGAGTGTGAATTTATTTCCATTTTTAAGGAAATAAAGGTGAAGAAATGAAAAATGAAAGAGAGAAATGAAATCAACATCTTTTCTTTTTTTTCCTACTTGAATAACAAAGTGAGACTTAAAGGATGAGGGAAATGAGATTAATGAATATATCTCTTGATGAGAAAAATAAATTATATTAAGTGTATTTGTTGATTGCATTAGAGGCACACTATATCATACTAATGGGGTTTTTAAGGAAATCAAATCATTTATTTTTTTGAAAAATTTAACGGATTTTTAAAAGTTTGAATTTCAACGATCTTTCAAAATTCAAAAAAATTAACTACTTTTGGAATTGGGCAATTCCACAGATGAGTGGAATTTCAGAAAAAGCAAATTGTAATTCTTTTTCTACTTGTAGATTTGAATTTCAAAAAACCGTTAGATTTTGGAATAATAAAAACTTGAGAAACAAACAAATTCGATTATTCTACATATTTTATAAATCTTGCTCAAAACCATAAACTTATAAATTAACTTGTTTTCGTCTTTATTTAGTTATCTTTTAACACTTTTTTTTCCTAATCTTTCTCACACTCAAAAATCGTAAACAATCACCTTAAATTTTATTGAATTAACTTTAACGTATTTTAAAAGTTCAAATTTTACTAAAATTTTGAGGAGACGCTTTTCGTTGCACTATTTCAATACATGTTTTACAAAATTCTATTTTTCTGATTAATAAGTGACTTAACGGCTACAAAGACTTTACAGAATCATAAAGCAATTCAGGTTGTACAGGAAAAAAACATTCAATATTTGTCTAGATATTTAAAAGGTAAAAAAAAACTAATTTTAAAATCAGAATTCCATATTTTGAAATAGTGCAACGCTCGCGAAAAATCAAATATTTGCTTAATTAATGCATATAGAAAGAAGCAGTAACATCCAGAAGATAGAACTCGGCGTTTTACATAAGTATGCACAGTCGTTGGACTGTCTAGATTGCCTAATTAAGAGAAAAATGATCTCAAACACGAAATTTTTGAAAAAATCAATCCGTGGAATTGCCCAATTTCAAAATTTTGAAAACCTTTTAAAGTTTTAAATCTAGAAAATTCGTTAAAATTCAAATTTTTTAAAGCCGTTAAAATTGAAGTTGAAATATAATGAATGTTTCTGTATCAGCCATTTGCAGCCAATGAAAGTCATTAAAATTGAATGATAAATTGAGATATGAATAAAATATGCCTTATATGGAACAGCTAACAGTTCTCAACAAAAAAAGGCCAAGACAAGTAAAAATTGATCCATTAAGTAAAAATAATCTGTAGGAATTTACCTGGCCTCACAACGAGATGTGTCAACATCATTTTTCGTTTTGCAACTTGTGTGACTCTCTCCTCGACTGAGTTCCTTGTAACGAAGCCTGTATAAGATTGATTAATGTTTAGATAGAAGTAAAGAACATGTAGAAATACAATTGCTTACGATATATCATGACTTTGTTTGCTTGTCCGATACGATGTGCTCGAGAGAATGCTTGAATATCCTGCATGAGAACAAAAAAAAATGTTCGAGATTATAGAATGTATTTATAAAACATAAGTAAGTGACTTACATTGTGAGGATTCCAATCTGAGTCATAAATAATGACTGTGTCTGCAGTTGCCAAATTAATACCGAGACCGCCAGCACGTGTAGATAGCAAGAAAGCAAATTGTGGAGCACCAGGAGCATTGAAGCGATCAATAGCATCTTGTCTTAAATTGCCTGTAATTCCACCATCAATTCTCTCATATTTATATCCAGAACCATCCAAAAAGTCTTCGAGAATGTCCAACATTTTTGTCATTTGAGAGAAAATCAAAACACGATGTCCCTGACGCTTAAGGACTCTCAACATTTTTTCAAGTAAATCCAATTTCCCAGAGGCTCTTGTCATAGCTTGAAATTCATAAGTTCCACCTGCACTCAATGGTGCTTCTTCTTGAGCACTCGGAAATAAGTATGGATGATTACAGCATTTCTTTAAATCCATCATAATATTCAACATTGAACATGCATTACCACCTCCAGTTTTTGAATTTAAAGCTTCAAAATTCTTCGTCAAAATAAATTTATAATATTTTTTCTGCATCGGCGAAAGCTCAACACGAACAATGAATTCACTTTTTGTTGGCATATTTTTCAATACGTCTGCCTTTAAACGTCTCAACATGTGTGGTCCCAACATTTCGTGAAGCTTCTTAACTTGCTCTTCCTTCGAAATATCAGCAAATTCACTTTGGAAAACTGTCAAGTCATTGAACTTATCTCGACATAAGAAATTCAATAAATGATACAATTCTGTGGATGAAAAAGAGTGAAATTTGAAGAAAATGTAATAAATTTTTCCCAAACATACATAAAGACTGAAATTGTTTAAACATTCCTATCGCATTGATGCTTGTACTTAAGAACAAATCTGTTTCATTTTGAAAAGGAATACGACAACAATTACTTTGTTATGCTTCTATTATGTAAAGCAGTTTTACTTAATCAAATATTTGTTTTAAATTAAATGCGGAATAATTAATACAATGACATTATTACGGTTCGCTTTACGACGTCACACTCTGTTTTTCTTACTTTAAATGCTAATTAGATCATTCAATATATTCAATGAATTTATTTAATCTTTGAACAGCATGAAGATAAACTTTTTTAAAGTTAATTATAATCAGCGTTGTAAAGAAAATATGAATCTTTTTTGAAACAGTTCCTTATTTATCTTAAAAAGTCATTGATTAAGAAATAACTGGGTAAATAGTTTCAGAATTATTCAGAAAAATTTGCTGTTGTAAGGTTTTGAAACATTTGAATTGATCGAAAATTGTTGTTATATGGTTTTACAAATTTGAATTGATTTGCTGTTGTGAGGTTTCAAATTTCGAATTAATTTCTGTTGTAGGGTTTTAAAACATTTGTACTAAATTGCTGTTGTGAGGTTTTCTTGAAGCTGTTATATGGTTTTAAATTTCAAATTTCAAAAACACGTTAATTTTTAAGGTTGAAAATGACTAGTCTAGGAATGTAATTTTTATAAAAGATGACGAAATCTACAAAACCTTGGAAAGTGTCCCACACAAATCTTGCATCTTTTCTCTCCAAAAGAAACCAATTCAATCATCAATGTCTGATAAATCAATTTCAATCTCTTTTTTTTTGCTATTTTTAAAATTCTGAATAAAAAAACTCATATTTACCTTCAAGATTATTCTGTTTTAAAAAGGATATAAAAAGTAAAGAGAAGTGGGAGGGACAAAAAGAAAAACAATTAATTTAAATAAAAAATCGAATCAAATCAAAACCTTACTTGTAATGGAGTTCCAGTCAAAAGTAATTTATAATCAATGTTGTAGCTCGCGAGAAATTTAAAGAACTTTGATTGATTCGATTTCAGACGATGTGCTTCATCAACCACAAGAATTTTCCAGTCGATTGACGATAAACATGCATTATCGATGGAAACAAGCTCATAACTTGTAATCAAAACATTGAACTTGACATTTGATGTTCTCATTTTACTTGCACCTTTCGAATTTCGTGGTACTCCGTCTTCGCTGAAGGTCAATTCATTCTCACGTATAGCTGCTCGCGAATCCTTGTCACCAATGTATGTGACACAATAAAAATCTGGTGCCCAAAGCTCAAATTCACGCTCCCAATTAATTAACGTAGATAACGGTACGGAAATTAAAAATGGTCCTTTGCAGTGACCTTCCTTGAATAATGAATATAAAAATGCTGCTGTTTGGATAGTCTTTCCTAAATTACCATAAAAGAAACGTGTGTAAGTACCAAACATTTAAATTTTTTTTACCATTTACAACTTACCGAGACCCATTTCATCTGCTAAGATAGTGTCAGTGCCATTTACCCACGAGTAGCGTAACCAATTAATACCTTCGACTTGATATGGATGTAATTGCATACCAATTTCATCAAAATATTCAGGCTGTTGCTCCCATTTGCGTCTTAAATCAGAACATGGACGATCTGGTGGTGGATTAAACTTTCTTTGTCCAGTTCCATCATCAACTTCATCTTTTGTGCGACGACGACCTTTTTTCTTCTTTTTGCGGTCATTCGTTTCGAGATTATATGCACGATGATCGTGATAGAATTCGACTGCGTGCTTCAAACCAGGAACTTCGTCTTCCTCTTCTTCCCATGTCGATTGTTCGTATGGCAGTTCACGCCACTTAACTAAATATAAAGTTCGTCCATCTCTCATTGTACGATGATTAATAACACGATGAATAATCAACCATTCTGGTTTGACACCATAATTGTAATATCTCTCCTCTAAATTTTCCTCGATATTGTTTCTTTCTTCCTTTGAATGCTTCCCCATTCTCTCGATACGCTTGTAACGACTATCTTGTTCATCCAATTGATCATCAAAGCGTGGTGGCTCATCCATATCATGTTTACGAGTATAAGAGCGAAACATAATGTTATGATAAACATCCATTTGCATTTCCGATACCCAGTCACAACGCCAATAGCTTTGATTTTGCCATTTTACGAAATATTCACGACGACGAATTGTTTGTGTCTTACTTGTTGACGGTCCAGGGATTTTAACGTCTGTCCATCTCCAACTGAGTATTTTAGCGACTTTAAACGGTAGTGGAGTACAAGAACAACGTGGACATGTCCAAGACGTTTCAGGCAATTCACTTAATGGTGGATCAAGACAAAATGTGTGGTAAGCCGATGGACACGAGTCACAACATAAAAGTTCACCGCCGTCTTTACAAATTCGACAGAAATCTTGATGTTCATCATCTTCTTCGTTTTCCTCAACAGGTTGTTTGCCTTCAGCTTCACATTTTGAGCAGCACCATTTGCCTTCTGGTGCTTCTTCGAGTTCCGGATCTAAACATACAAGATGATAAGCTCTTGGACAAGTATCGCAGAGAATAATCTCGCCTCCTTGCTGACAAACATCACAATAATCTTGATGTTCGATAGCTTCAGCTGCCTTTTTGGACTTCTTCTTTTTGCCACGATTGCCAATCTTAACCTTTGCCTTTCCTTTAACTACTGTACTTGTACTTTGTGCACGGCTGTTACTTGTCTCATCATCTGATGCTTCTGGAGTTTTCAATAGCATTTTCTCAAATTCTGCATCACTGTCGCGTTCTTCAGTTTCTCCGTTACTGTCCTATAATGTAAAACATTGCATTTTTTTGATTAAGTTTTATATATAAATCGATCTTTTTATGTAAATGATTATGTAAGTACTGAATAAAATTAATTCTAAATACAGAATTTACAAGATTTAACGACCAAAAAATATTTAAATCTAGTAAAAGTTTAACGGCTAGATAAAATTTGAAAATTAGGAGTTATATACTAATTTTTGGAAACTTGATTATTGGTTCCAGTCAGTTCCAGTACTTTCAGTTTTAGTAATAATGCAAAAAAATGCCCCAAAATTGCCAATAAACTTACTTTTTCTTCTTCGGAACTAGCGTCTTTCTTCTTGCCAAATCGTATCTTTAATGTTGGAACTTTTTGTTTGCGTCCGCGCTTGCTTGTCGTTCGTGCATTAGCACGTTTTTTGCTGGAACGCTTGCTGTTACTATTATCGTCATCATCATCATCGTCGTCATCGTCATCATCTTCTTGTTGTTGCTGCTTTTTTTCAGCATTTCTGGATGGTCTTGAACGACTTGATTTTGGCTTATATTCAGGCTCTTCTGGTTCATCTACAGCCTCGTCATCATCCTCGTCATTATCTGATTTTTCAGCTGTTTCTGCTGGTTCCTCGTCATTATCATCATCTCTTAAATTTGGATTTTCGAGGCAAAACTCACGCCATTTAGCAGCTATTAACATCATTAGTTTACTGCTTGGTGCTTTTGGATTTTCTTTTGTTAAAATTGGGCGTACAAATTGTGTAAACATTTTGTATGTAACAAGATTTTGATAATGGCTTTCTGTGTATTCAATTGAGACATCCTTCAAGTCTAATTGCTCACAAACTTCCTCGACTGACGGTGCTTCAGTTTCTTCGGCTGGTTCTTCGTCAACAACTTGATGTCTCGATGATCTAGCTGAACGTTCTTCACGATCTCCTCTATCTTTCTTTTTACGACCTTTTTTACTTGATGTATATTCCTCAGCTGATTCGTTTGGCTGTTCGTCTTCGTCTTCAGATTCATTCTTCTTACGCTTTTTCTTTTTGCGATTTTTGGATTTTTCTTCACTACGAACTTTACGTTTCTTTCCTTTTTTAGATTTCTTCTTGCTATCGGTTGGCTCATAATCATCGTCGTCGTCCTGCATAAACACAAAAGTCTAATAAAATTCAAATGGTAAACAAAAATGTCTAAACTTACATTTAATGGATTTTTAGATCCGTCATCTTGGAATGTGTCTTCATTTCCTGCTGAGAAAAATGGAAAAATTTATAATCACATTAATTGGGTCGAAGCAAGGCGTCCATTTTGGATTTTTTGGGTTCTTGTGTGCTCCTATGACTCTATACAGTACAAATGTCTCGTGCAAAAAATATAATTTCAGGAATTTATGATATTTCTTCTTTTTTAACTCAATTGATCTTAGACAATGCTTATTATTGCTTATTTTGAATACTTTTATGTCATTTTAATTGCAATTAATGCAGCACATAGATGTAATTAGCACTCAATGTAATGCCGAAAAAAATTTACCGTAATCATCACTCTTTTCCTCTTCGGAACTCATCTTTCTCACTTCACTTTATGCTATTTCACTTTAATAGACACTATATTATACAAATTATCCTTTTAAACAGCTCAATATGAAGTTATTATTGATTTAATTAAGATAAATAAAATTCACAAAATTCTTTAAATAAATCGAACTGTGAATGTTTTATTTCGCGGAAACGACTAAACCTCACTTGCACGGATTTAAGAGTTGAGTCTCGGTAAAGCGTTTGATTTTAAAAAAACCGTTATCTCAATATTGAGATTTTTGTTGTTCTGACAAGTCAAAACATGATCATTTTATGCTATTTAGGCACGTTTTTATGATGAAATGAATTTCGAGGAAGTTGTAATATATATGTTTTTATGTTTCAGAATTTTATTTTCATCTTTTCATGCAGGCGTAAGCAATTTTGGCAATTATTAATACAACTTTGTGCTAAAAATAGATGCAAATTGGCGCAAAAAATTAAGCTTGACAGCTGATTTGAACATTTATACTCAAAATATTCCATACTCACTTACACACGTTGTGTCAGATAAAAGAAAAGGTGTGATGAATTTCGTAATATACAATGAAATGAAAATTTTGGATATGACGTCGAACATTAAGAGTGAGAAGGATTAGAGATGTTGTAAGGCTACACATTGAGATAAATTTTAACTTCTGAACAACTTTTCTAATTCTTATGAACAAATCCTACACAGTTAAATGTTCCCACGTTTTCCTAAACTTTAGAAATGTGACAAAAAGTCTAGAGTAAATTAATCATAAATGTAGTTTAAAGGCGTCTTTAAGCTCCATTCACTAGTTACGTAAAGCTAAAGGTAAACGAATAGGATGTTACTTTTACTATGCCAAGCACTACTCGTTGAAAGTTATAAAACTATAGAAAAAGTCTAAACTCTGGACATTCTGTAATTACCGAGCGAAAGAAAGGTATGCTAATATTTAAGGATATCCCAAATTGTAGTATTATAACTGTACAAACACGTGTACGTAGTTAGATAAGGCTTCAGAAAAGAAAAGTTATGAATAAATAGGTAGGTGATTATACAGAGAATTAGATACATTATAAACTTGCTAATTAGATAACTTTTGTTTTCTTTAAAAATCTTTAAGTCCTTGGAATAAATTACCTGAGGTAATCTGTGATAAAAATTCAAAGTTCACATCTTATAAGATCCTTAGGAGGGTTGTTGATAAATTATGTAAACTTGAAAATTTGATTTTTAAACTTCTATAGTTTACTTTGTTTATGTACTTTGAAAGAAAATTTGATTTGAAGGACGTCCTAATTGGGGGGGGGGGGGGGGGGTGGCTCTAAGGTTGTGTTATAATTCCATACAAAATTCAACTTTTGTGACAATGGCGGTTGGGTTTACATTATTAATGAACTACCCCTTAACATATAGCAAACAATTTTATTAAACCTTGAATCTTAATCATCATAATTATGGATCTCCCTGAAGAAATAATACGTTAATTTAGCATTCTTTCAAATCAAAAACATTTTTAAACCCTCGTATAGACGTAAGCAACTTTATTCTAAAGAAGAAAACAGTTTTAAGGAACTTTTTCATATTTTTTGAGATAATGTTGGGATGGGTTGGGATACATATTTGCTCTGTTCTCTTTAGGGCTTTCATGCTTGAAACAGAAAAGCTTTTCGATGTCAATTCATCATCACTTCATTCTCTTTTCATCTTCAAGTTATCATCATGAAAATTGTTTTAGCATTTTATGCGTAAGAAATTTATGGGAGGCTTGTGTTAAATATGAAGGAAGTATATATAAAGTGGTTGTTCGTCAAATATTTCAGAGAGCCAATGTGAATGGGGTGACTATTGGATTTTCATAAAAGTAGGAAGGTTCAATGTATTGAGCATGACGTAACAGTTGTGTGCCTAACCTCTTGTGGGAATCGATCCTATGCCTCTGTGGTTCTCGATTGACTAGATTGACTTCTTTGCAGATTGTAGGAATCAAGAGTATGGAACGTGTCAAATTAAATTTTCATTATTTCTATAAGTTTATAAAAGTGCAGCCACCCAACCTACAGAAATTGAGTTTTTTTCTGCATAATTTCTTCGAAGAAGAATGCTTATTAGTTATAAAAAAGAATATCTTAGTCATTCTTTCTCGTTCTTTCTAACCTTGAAATTTATTTCCTTGTAAAATATTACGTCAGTTCGTTTAGGAAGAATAAGCAGAAGCCTAAAAGTGAAAGCAGAGATAATAAATATTTCACATTCTTTTGTAAAGTTTAACAAAAAGTGATCTATAGATCTAATTTTAAACCTTTGACATCGTTAGCAACCGGCTTTTTTGAAAAATTGACAATGCCGGCTATACAAAGTTTGTATATATACTGTTTCACTCCGGAAAGCTGATTTATTTCATGTCATATTCAACACATGCTATTGACGCTTGAAACAACCGAAAGGAAACAAACATCGAATCAGATGAAACTTTTTATACAGTCGAGAGAAAACATTGAAAGCTATAAGGCATTTTCTTTGGAAAACACGACAAAAAATACAAAAGTTAACTAAATGTCAATATTTGCCAGCCCCAAATGAATATTTCAATATAATGTATCAAGGGCAATGTTTGTTCCAAACTGTCATACATAAAATGATTCGCGCTTTGTAGGTTTATCCATTTCAGGCAACAAATTACTTGTTGAACTTTTAATTTGTGTGCTTTTGACAAGGGGCCATTCACTTATTACGTAACGCTTTTAGGGGGGGAGGGGGGTCTAAGATTTTGTTACGGTTCAAACAAGGAAATTTTTTTTTCATACAAATTTTGTTACGAGGGGGGGGGGGGTCTAAAAAGTCATTTTTTCGCGTTACGTAATAAGTGAACAGCCCCCAATGATCGCGATTTTTTGACTATGCTGCTTGTCACTCCAAAGTCATAATAAGTTTAAAAGGACATTGAGGTCACTCTTCAAATAGAGGACGTCATTAGTTGACAACTTCTTATTTGACAATAAAACATTTTTCTCATTATTCATCGAAGTTTATAAAGCATTCGTAAATTCATCAATCATTTGATTAAAAATTAATAAATTTATTACTTTAAGCTATGATGACAAATAAATTCAATTAAATTCTTTAATGGGATGGAGCTTTAACTTTTTGAAATGATGTTCATAAGTGACGACTTACAGCAAGGGGAGGAGAATATAAACAGGTATAAAACATAGAATTCAGCATCAATCGTCAATTATCAAGAAGTAGTCATTTATCAACAACCCCAAAGCACAGTAAGAAAAGAAGCTTTTCACATTCAGTGGCTTAGAACTAATTAATTTGAGTTGTAAACAGAGGCGTAGCCAGGAATTTGAAGAGGGGGGGAGGAGGACAAAAAATTTTTTGTATTGAAAAATTTAAGTGTGAGGGGGGGGGGGGGGGGAATTTTTGTGATTTTTTCATAAAAACCCTAGAAAAATAAAGAAATTTCTGTTTACGTTGGGGGATTCGTCCCCCCCACCCTGGCTACGCGCCTGGTTGTAAAGTACTCAAATAAAAAATGTTGATAAATAAATACATGATAAACAAAGAGAATATTTATAAAACAGCACATCATCATTTTCTGAAAGCTTTGAAAAGTTGTCAATTTCCGACAGTAAGACAACAAGCTTAAATTTTCACGCTGTATAAACATTTTCGTCGATTGTGTTTTGAATATTCTTGACTTGACAGCATGAAGAAAGTTAACTGATAGAAAAGTTTCCAAACTTGTGTAGGCGACGAAAAAAAGCAACAAGTTTCGGTATTTCATGATATTAGGCCCAAGCAAAAGACAGATGAAATGTAATCACATAAATTAGTTTGATGGAAATGCCCATTTGACAAATTAAGTTGAGCCAATGGAATATTGGATTAAATGATATTGATATTTTCCAGAGCTCGAAGTCGACTCGAGTTGACTCGAACCCTATCGATAGGGTCATAACATACTCAAGCCAAACTATCTTTTGAAGCAAATTGTGTCAGTTTAATAGTATTTTCATGCTGAATCTTGTCAAGTTCGATTAGTAAAGTCGTCATTTAGTGCTGTTTTGGGTAACCTACATTAAGCAACAACTGATGCTACTACACCATTAGTGAACGATTGCTTAATTTAGATCAATCAATCAATGCTCCATTGGCATTGGCGCACCCTTAAAACATAAAATCCGTTTAGTACAACATGTTGATAAGACAAATACGTCATAATAATCAGCCACTAAACAAACTAATTTGTCAAAACTTGCCGAAAATTGTGAATGTCAAAATATAATAAATCACTTTGGTTTTTGTCGTTTACATTGTCTCTAATTTTCATTATTCATCACTGATTTTTCATTGATCATAAAGAATATGTTGTTTATGCCTCAAATTGTTATGGAATATAAAAAAAATGAAGCGGAAGCACGCATTATTAAAGAAATCTTTTAGATTCTATTCAAATGTTTGTGTACTTACGAAAGCTTTTCTTTGTTGAAGCTTTCCATTTGGGATTCTTTGCTTATTACGTCAATAAAAAAAAACCTTTCCCTATTCCCTGTGATCCAGAGGTGCACTAAGGCGTTTCGCAGCTAATGAGAGTTTAACGAGTGAGGATGCGCCAAACCACTGCACTCAAACCTAGACCTACATTTCTGCTTGTAGCCTATAAAGGAAGGCTGTGAGTCTCATTTCCAGTACATATGATTCGAAAAAGGATAAGTGAAAAATTTCTCATACCCAGTCTCGAACCCATGATCGCTGTGTCGATTCTACAATAATCAGGTGCCAAAGGACTAAACCATACCGCCAACGAGCCACTTCAGCTCACTACTTCAGCTTACATCAATCATTTAATAAATGAGAGAAGGAGTCTGAAGTTTTACAGTAATTGATAAAAACATGTTTTGGTCGTCATAAGTGATGGACCCCTTATGATACATATAAGGACATTTTTTCCACATTAAGAACACGTGGAACGGCTCTAGTATGATGAAAAACAAATATACATTTTTAAAATGCTAACGCTTGGTGCAAAAATTGTTTTATTTTATATTCGTGAAATATTCAGTAGGTGTTATTGGAAAAAATTATTTTGCATAAATGTATTTCCATGAAGATCAATTCATATTGTTTATGGAACAGAGTTGA